CTCTCTCTCTCTCTCTCTCTCTCTCTCTCTCTCTCTTTCCCTCCCTCCCTCCCTCTCTGTCTGTCTTTCTTTTTGAGACAGGGTTTCCCTGTAGCCCCGGCTGGCCTGGAACTCCCTAGTAGACCAGGCTGGCCTCAAACTCGCCAAGATCCACCTGCCTCTGCCTCCCCACCATGCCCAGCTCAAGATCATTCTAAATGTACTCCCCACTTCTCACAAGGACCTAGAAGCATGAGTGGATTCTGTCACCAGCTCTAGACTTTCAGTCTTTTGTGTCCTGTCCTGGGAGGGGTCCAGGCTAGTGGAAAAATTAAGGGAATGATGGAGAAGAAATGGGGGCAGACGGGCTCCTCCTGTTTCCAGTCTGGGAACCCCAGTCCTTCAGGGTCAGGCAGAGAAGGAGTACCTTGGCAGAGGCTTGGTCAGCCAAAGGCAGACTGAACTTTCAGGAGCCTAGGGGACCTAAGGGAAGAGCTGCTGGAGGGGCCCCTGTCTCACTATGTGTCCTAGCAGAGCCACAGGGCTGAGGAGTAGGGGAGCGGCTAGAGAGGGGTTCTGGGCCAGTGGGCCAGGCCTCCCCAGCCGGCGCCTCAGTCCAGCTTAAGCTCCGCCCGCCTGCACCCCTGACTCACTTCCTTCGCTTCGAAGCGGAAACCTCCCCAGAACTTCCTCTGTTCCAGCCCCTGGGGACCCACAGGTGTCGCTGCCCACTTCAGGCCTGAGCTGAACCAGCTGGCCCCTAACCCGCCCATATCACCCCTTGGGGAAGACCTGCATTTCCTGCTTCCTGAGTTGCAAGTCAGCGACTGGCTCTGGAAGCGGGTGGCTGAGCTGGGGAGACAGAAGCTGCAGGTAGGGGTTTGGGGTGGAGAGGCTCAGGCCAGCCTTCTCAAAGTCAGGACTATTCCTTCTCTACCCCGCTCTTTCTGTCCATTTTTCTGCTTTGCGTGTTCACTGGGGGTATGTTGAGGGACCCCAGATTTTGTCATGCGGGCTGGAAAGACCTAGACTGTGCCTGGAGCAGTGCTGAGACCCATTCTAAAAAAAACGTGAGAATCTCAGCTCCTGGGGGTGCAGAGTCCTCTGCTTGATGGGGCCCATTTAGGATGTGTAATGCCCTTGGCAGTCTAACAGATAGATGCTGGGTGAAGGACAGGGTCCAACTTGACCTTTCTACAGCCCTAATTGGTGCCGGTAAGACCCAGAATCCCCGACTCTTCCTCCAGGAAAGCAGGCAGCTGCCTGATGAATTACATATCCCCTCCTCCAGCCACTGCATTTCCTCAAGGCCTGGGCCTTTTCTGGGAGGACCCAAGAGATTTGCATTGGGGCCCTGCGGAGCAGCAGCGGCTTCCTGGTCAGTGGGGTGAGGCAAGGCGGAGCCAGTATCTGGCCGTGAAGCAGTCCAGGCCGCACCTCACAGACGCCCCCCCCCGCCCCCCCCGCCCCAGGGTAAGACCCCTAGGTGTGAGGGAGCCAGGTGGTGGTCCGTGGGGGAAGGTCCTGGCGGGAGTCAGGAGACCCCCGTTTTCCTGTTGCAGGGAGGGGACCTGCATGCTCAGTGCCGCTCCTGCGCCATGGACCGCAGCCAGCCTAGCCTGGAGTCCCCGACCCTGGTCCCCCAAGCCAAGGGCCCGTGCGTGATCGCGCCCGTGCGCGCCGTGCTCCGTCTGCGCCGCCGTGTGTGCGTCCTGCGAAAGCGGCGCCTCTTGCAGCCAGGCGCAGAGCCAGATGGTGGAACTCCGCGGGCGCTGCGGCCGGGTTGCAGCTCTGGGACCCTCCGGGCAGACCTGGACCAGCCCAGATTCTTCACTTTCGACGGCCTTACAGAGCTGCCTTCTAGAACTCCGCGCAAGAAGCGCAGGCGCAGCCGGGTAGTGCTCTATCCCGAAACCTCACGCAAGTACCGTCCCCGCACAGAGCGCCAGAGCCGCGCACAGCGTTGCCTGCTGCTACTGGTGGCTATCGTGGGGTTTCAGGTGCTCAACGCCATTGAGAACCTGGATGATAATGTGCAGCGTTACGACCTCGATGGGCTGGAGAAGGCACTGCAGCGCGCGGTGTTTGGCCAGCCAGCTGCGGTGGGCCGCATTATGGCGCTGCTCCGGGACTATCTGGCTACACACGTGCACAGTCGCCCGCTCCTTCTGGCTCTGCACGGGCCCAGTGGTGTAGGCAAGAGCCACGTGGGCCGCCTACTGGCACGCCACTTCCGCGCAGTGCTGGAGGACAGCGCGTTGGTGCTACAGTACCATGCACGGCACCACTGCCCAGAGCCTCGCGCAGTGCAGGACTGCCGGAAGGAGCTGGCACAGCACGTGACGGACGTGGTGGCGCAGGCCGAAGCCAAGGAGAAGACGCCTCTTTTGGTCCTGGATGAGGCAGAGCTCTTGCACCCTGCGTTGCTGGATGAACTGCACGGCCTCTTGCAGCCACAGCGCTCACACCATTTCCACAACGCTGTGTACATACTACTCAGTAGCACCGGGGGTGTAGAGATCACACGCTTTGTGCTGCAGAATGCGTCACGCACACTGCCTCCCCACTCTTCCAGTGCATACAGCATCCAGGCTGAGGAGTCCCAGGCCGAGGAAGAACTGCGCACCAGCCTTCGGGAGCTCTTGGCCGGAGAACACCCGCTGTGGCGGACCGCAGCCATCGTGCCTTTCCTGCTACTGGACAAGCGAGATGTGGTCAACTGCTTCCGAGAGGAGATGGCCGGGGAGGGCTTTTTTCCTGAGCAGGCACTGGCAGAGCGTCTGGCAGAGCAGCTCAGCTACCACCATGTAGCCGGACATGAGTTCGCCATCACTGGCTGCAAACAGGTGGTAGCCAAAGTCAACCTCTTACAGCACAGGCCTGGACGCACTGGACACTAGCCAGAGGCCCCAGACATTTGGGTTGTTGGTGGAAACAGGAGGGAGATCAGGGCATCTGTGATCACCAAGACTGTTCACCCCAGGAGCTAGAGAAGTTGGTGGGGGCCTCAGCTCTGAGCTGCCCACCTCCTTTCCCATCCAGCCTTGAGTTTCCCTAGGCCATCAAGAAGAGCAGCCACCTTCCTGTCTAGTCTGGTCTGTCTTCCTCAGCTGCCATCATGTTCCAGGCTCATGTGATAAGTGGGCAGTGTGCATGTATGGTGTAGGTCAGTTATCTTACAGAGTGAATAGCAGAGGTAGGAACCCAACCCTGATGGGAACTTGTGGCACCTTCCATACTTCATATACCCAGCCAGTCCTTGAATGCCTCCTCTGCTTAGGGTTTCCAAGGTGAGGGATGCTTCTTCAGGCAGCCTGAGAAGGCAGTAGGATGGACAGACCCAGGGGAATCCCTCAGATGTGCTGGAGGTGGCTTGGCTGACCATGGTAGAATGCGGGCTTAAATGGAGACCCAACCTCTTGAGCCCCTGTACACTGGCTCCCTAGCTGTTGCAGGACCCTGGACTGGGGATGAGAGGTATGTGAGCGGCCTTGGAGCCAGCTTCAATCAACGGTAGAGAGTCCTGCTCTGGAGTCCATCCTCCTGCTGAAGGACTCAGCCCTACCACCCTGGCCCTTTCCTGCCACCAGCTCTGGAGTGACAGTTCTTGAGTCCTCAACAAACTGGCAGCAGGGGATAGTGAACAAGGCCTTGAGGCTTGTTTCCAGGAGCAGCAGGTTTGCATGAGGCCCAGCGGGTTGGGGTGGGGGGTGGGGCGATCTATTGACTGGGTTCACAGGATGACCAAAGCCCAGGCTTCTGCACCTCTCCCGCACCGGACGTGGAGACGGCTTATCCTTAGCAGTGTAGCTGTCTGGCCACTACAGATCTGTTTCCTTCGGGTTCCGCATTGCCTTTGGGGTCCGATTTCTGCCCTCCGGGACTCCTGAGCATGCTCTAGAGGAAGGTGCTTTGGAAGCTGCTTTGCCTGCAGCGCTACTGTGCCCTGGCCACCTCTGTGCTGCCGCCTGGTGGCCACACCCGGCTCCGTCCCCCGTGCACCCTTGCAGGTTAGAAATAGGCACATCCAAAAGTGGGCGGTGAGGGGGCAGCAAGGGACGACCCCGGAAGCAGAGGGGACGAGCTCCAGAGGGGGTGATATGTCCTTCCCCACCTTGGGGAGATCTGCTGCGAAACCACCCAAGCTCAGGTGTCCCTAGAGAAGCTCACTGGCCTGTCCTGCACATCCCATTGTCTCCTATTCAGCTTAACCTGGCTGTGCTCTAAGGATCTGCGTACCGCCAGGTGGGCGGGTTGAAAAGACTGTAGATGGGCACATTCACCTGAGGGAGCCCAGTGCACAGATCCTGTGCTTGGGAGGTAACCAGCACATCCTTCCTCAGGCCCCACGACTCCTTGCTATGGGGTGTCCCTGAAGTTGGGAGACTGGTCAGGGTTTCAGTGGGATGTAGAGGGTAGGATGGCTAGCTCAGAGCCCAAGGCTAGGTCCTCCCCAGATGACTTACTGGGCCAAAGAGAAGGTGGAGGTCCTGCTCTGCCCTCTGTGTTGATGCTTCAAGGGGTGTATAAGAGCTGCTGAGTGAGGGGTGCTGACCAGTCCTTGTGGAGTGATGCTGGGGTCCTCACCACTCTGAAGGAAGCCCCCGCCTTTGGATCTCACCCAAACACCCCCCTCAAAGTGTCCCCTGCCAAATGTTGCATGAATTTACCCACTTAACATCCACAGAACATCCACCTAGATCTGAAGATCCAGACCCATGCAGAATTGTCTTTTTATTTATTTCTAGAAAAAAATACATTCCAAGAATAATTACATTGAAACTGATTCCTTGTCTTAAGTGACCTGTGCACTCAACACTGTGGGCAGGTTGTATCATGCTTTCGAATAAACTGCAGCTCAAATCTGGCAATCTACTGGCTTCTCTTGGTGTTTCTTGTCTGCACGACCTGTTAATTGAGAAAGGCAAGCTGGAACCTTTCTGTCTGGTGGTAAGTTTAATAACGCTCTAAGCCTCCAGGTAGTACATTTTGTTTTCAGACAGGGTCTCACACTGTATTCCAGGCTCATCTTGAATCTGTGAGCCTCCTGCCTTGGTTTCCCAGGTGTTTGGCTTACATTTGTACACCACCATGCAGGCCAAAGGACTTTGTTTGAGACAGAGTCTCCCAGTAGCCCTAGTTGCCCTGGAACTCACTGTAGACGAGGCTGTCTCTGCCTCCTGAGTGCTGGGATTAAAGGTATGTGCCACCACCCATTGACAAGATGATTTTTTTTTTTTTTGGTCTTTTTGAGACAGGGTCTCCCTGTAGCCCCAGCTGTCCTGGAACTCGCTATGTAGACCAGGCTGGCCTTGAACTCACAGAGATCCACCTGCTTCTGCCTCCCAAATGCTGGAATTAAAGGCTTACGCCACCATACCCGGCATACTTTGTAGTTTTTTTATTGCAAGGTTGAAAGTCTTTAGTCCAGGGGCTGGAGAGGTGGCTCAGTGGTTAAGACCACTGGCTGTTCTTGTAGAAGACTGGGTTTTGAATCCCAGCACCCTCATGGCAGCTAACAACTGTCCAGTTCCAGAGGATCCAGTTCCAGTAACTCCAGTTCCAGAGGATCCGACAGTCTCTTCTGTAATCCTCCGGCATTGCACAACAAGGGTGCATTTACCTACATGGAAGCAATACAGGCATACATATAAAATAAAAATAATAGCTGGGCGTGATGGCGCACTCTTTTAATCCCAGCACTTGGGAGGCAGAAGCAGGTGGATCTTTGTGAGTTTGAGGCCAGCTTGGTCCACATAGTGAGTTCCAGGACAGCTGGGACTACAGGGAGACCCTGTCTCAAAAAGACCAAATTAAATAAAGAAAAAAATAAACAAATAAATAATGAAATAAATTTTAAAAATTTTAATTAAAAAGTCATTAGTCCAGATTCTGTCCATTTTATAAAAGTCATTCCTTCAGAAAATCCTTCAGATAATTTACATTTTGAAACTTTTTTTACAAAATTTGAAATTATGGCTGGGAATGGTGGCATATGCCTATAATCCCAGCATTTGGGAGGTAAAGACAGGAGGGTCAAGACTTCAAGATCATTCTTGGTTACATAGTAAGTAAGTAAGCTCCAGGCCAGCCTGGGCTATAGTAGATACTCTTTCCCCTACCCCCCAAAATTCTTTAAAATTACACAAAATTATTTTTTGAGATGGGTCTAATATATCCCAGGTCGATTTCAAACTTTCTTTTTTTTTAATCTTTTTGAGACAGGGTCTCCCTATAACTCACTATGTAGTCCAGGCCAGGCTTGAAGTCACAGAGATCCACCTGCCTCTGCCTCTCAAGTGCTGGGATTACAGGCGTGAGCCACCATGCCCAGCAGCTTCGAACTTTCTATGTAGCTGAGGATGACTGTGAACTCTGATCTTCCTGTTTTTACCTGGGACTGCAGGTATGCACTACAAAGCAAAATGTATACAAAATTCTTTTTTTTAATTTTTAAAAAATTTATTATTTTTACTTTATGTATATGTGTGTATTGCCTGCATGTAGGTAAGTGCACCTATGTCGTGCAATGCCCTCGGAGGTCAGAAGAGGCTGTTGGATCCCCTGCAACTGGAGTTACCGGACAGTTATTAGCTGCTATATGGGTGCTGGGAATCAAACCTGGGTGTTCTGGAAGAACATCCAGTGTTCTTAACCGCTGAGCCATCTCTCCAGCCCCGCAAAATTCTTTTTTATTATTTCATGTGTGTGTTGTATATGTGTGTAAAAGTGGACAGGTGAGCCACAGCATGAATATTAAGTTCAAATGACAACTTTAGAGAGTTACTGCATTTGTCTTGGGTTCTCTGGGGGATCCAAACAGGTCATCAGGCCTGTGCAGCAGATGCTTTTGTCCACTAAACCTTCTCCTTGGCCCAAAATAATAATATTGTTATTATTTAAGACAGTCTTACTATGTGTCTTTGGTTGTCTTGGACATCATTATGTAGAGCAAGTTATCCTTGAACTCACAGAGATCCACCTGCCTCTGTCTCCCTGAGTGCTGGGATTAAAGGTGTGTACCGTCACACCTTGCCCCCCAATTTTTTCTTTTTTTGAGACGGGATCTCACTATGACCTCGATCTCACAGAGATCCACCTATCTCTGCCTCCTGAGTGCTGGTGATTAAAGGTATACACCACCACAACCAGCCTTTATTTTTTTATTTTTTATGTGTATGAATGTTGTACCTGCATGCATGTAAGTGCACCCATGCATGCAATGCCTGTGGAGGCCAGAAGAGGATGACAGGTCCCCTGGAACTGGAGTTATGAACGATTGTTAGCTGCCATGTGGGTGCTGGGAACCAAACGCAGGTCCTCTGCAAGAGCAGCCAGTACTCTTAACCACTCAGCCTCTCGCCAGCCCTTCCCAAACTTTCTTTTCTTTTCTTTTTTTTTTTTTTCTGTTTTTGAGACAGCATCTCCCAGTAGCCCTAGGTGGCCTGGAACTCACTATATAAACCAGGCTGACCTTGAACTCAAAAAGATCCACTTGCCTCTGCCTCTGGAGTGCACCGGGTAAAGGCAATGCACCACCATGCCTGGCACCAAAATTATTTCTCTTTATAAATTTTTAAATATTTATCTTTTTTATTTTATTTTATGTATATGAGTGTATTGCCTGCCTGTATGTAAGTGCACCTGTGTCCTGCAATGTGGGTGCTGGGAATTGAACCTGAGTCCTCTACATAACTGCTGAGCCAGCTCTCTCCAGCGCCCGCCCCCTCCCCTCCCTGCTGGAATTCTTGACGCTCAGCTGATGAGAGACTTCAGACTCCGAGATGAGGGCTCCTTTCCCTTTTCATGTCCGCATAAATTTCCATGTCTTTATGGTGCTTCATTATTATAGTCACCCTACTGTGTGGTGTTAGTGAAATTTTTCTGATAACTCATAGTGTGCCTTTTGTGTCATTGAGACCTGATCTCATTTTGTAGCTCATGCTGGCCTGGAACTCAGCCATCTTCCTCCTTCCACCTCGAGTGCTTACAGGATGTGCTACCATTTCGCTTGTAATTTTCTTTGTGTTTCTCTCTCTCTCTCTCTCTCTCTCTCTCTCTCTCTCTCTCTCTCATTTTTGAGACAAGGTCTCCCTATAGCCCCAACTGTCCTAGAACTCCATATGTAGACCAGGATGGCCTGGAACTCACAGAGCTCCTCCTGCCCCTGCCTTCCAAGGGCTGGGACTCCAAGTGTGCACCAATATACTCAAGAAGAATTTTCCAGGCGTAGTTGAGGCAGGATAGAAAGATAGGTAGAGTCTTGGGGATTTGAGAATAGAGAGAAAACCTTTACCCTGCAATCCAGCAGAGATGTCTTACCAGCAGCCAAGCAAAACTTAACAATTGCTTTAAGAACTTTCTCCCTTCCCAACTGTACACGTGATTTTCTAGGAATCTCAAGTGAGTTCCAGGACAGCTGGGACTACAGGGAGACCCTGTCTCAAAACAAAATGAAACAAATAAAAAATTTTAAAATATTTTTATTTATTTTTAACTTTTATATTTATTATTTATTTATTTATTTATTTATTTTTGTCTTTTTGAGACAGGGTCTCCCTGTAGCCCCAGCTGTCCTGGAACTCACTAGTTAGACAGGCTGGCCTTAAACTCACAGAGATCTGCCTGCCTCTGCCTCCCGAGTGCTGGGATGAAAGGCGTGCGCCACCATGCACGGCAATATTTTTATTTTTTTTGTTTTTTGTTTTTTTGAGATAGGGTCTCCCTGTAGCTCCAGCTGTCCTGGAACTCACTATGTAGATCAGGCTGGCTTTGAACTTACAGAGATCCGCCTGCCTCTGCCTCCTGAGTGCTGGGATTAAAGGTGTGTGCCACCACGCCCAGCAATATTTTTATTTTTTAAGATTTGTTACTCTGGTCTGGAGAGGTGGCTCAGTGGTTAAGAGCACTGATTGTTCTTGCAGAGAACCCAGGTTTGATTCCTAGCACCCACATGATGGCTAATAATTATTCATAACTCCAGTTCCAGGGGATCCAACTCCCTCTTCTGACTTCTGTGGGCATTGCATGACATGGATGCACTTACACACATGCAGGCAATATACTCATACACATAAAAATAAATAAATAAGGGGTTGGAGAGATGGCTAAGTGGTTATGAACACTGGTTGTTCTTGCAGAAGACCCGGGTTTGAATCCCAGCACCCACATGGCAGCTAACAACTGTCTGTAACTCCAGTTCCAGGGGATCTGACAGCCTCTTCTGTCCTCTGTGGGCATTGCACAACATGGGTGCACTTACCTACATGCAGGCAATACACGTATAGACATAAAATAAAATAAAAAATATTAAAATAAATTAATAAAATGTTTTAAAAATGTTTTAAAGTTTTATGATTGTTATTATTATCATTATCATTGTTATTGGTATTTTTCAGACAGGGTCTACCTGTAACCACAGCTGGCCTGGAAATCACTATGTAGACCAAGCTGGCCTTGCTCTCACAAAGATCTGCCTGCCTCTGCTTCCTGAGTGCTGGGATTAAAGTCATGCACCACCATGCCAGCTTTTATTATTACTTTTATTAATTCTCTGTGTGTGTGTGTGTGTCTGTGTTTGTGTATTGATATATGCACATGTGTTCAGGTAACCACATAGGCCAGAGACATCAGATCTCCCTGGAGCTGGAGTTACAGGCTGTTGTGAACCACCAGACATGGGTGTTGCTGGGAATCAAACTCATTTCCTCTGCAAAAGCATTATGTTCTCTTAACCACTGAGCCATCTCTCCAGCATGTTTGTGAGTGTTTGTGCCCATGTTAGTACACGTACCTTCAGAGGTCAGAAGAGGTCTTTGGATCCCATGAAGCTAGAGTTACAGGGGATTGTGAGCTGCCTGACACTGATGCTAGGAATGGAACCTGGGTCTGTACAAGAGCAGTACATGCTCCAAACCACTGAGCCATCTCTTCAGACCCCTGGTCTTTTTTCTTTTTTATGAAACAGGGTCTTATGTAGCACAGGCTGCTTTCAAGTTCACTAAGTAGTGGAGGCTGGCCTTGAACTCCTGATCCTTCTGTCTCTATTTCTCAAGCACTGGGGTTACTGGT